CTGGGGTTTTCTTGGCAAGATTTATTATTATTATTATTATTATTATTAGATTTATTCGGAGTGTCTTTGCCATTGCCTTCTTCCTCTACGGTTCAGTGTGGCTAGTGGTTTGGGTGCTGGACTAGGACTCTGGAGACCCGGGTTCGAATCCCCGCTGGGCCAAGAAACCCACTGCGGCTGCATCCGCACTGCAGGAATAATCCAGTTTGACACCACTTCAGCTCCCCTGGCTCAATGCAATGGGATTCTGGGGACTGTAGTTGTAGACTGTTGTGAGACCTTTAGCTTTTTCTGTCAGAGAGCCCTGGTGCCGCAATAAACTATAATTCCCCGGAGCACTGAGCCAGGGAAGTTAAAGTGGTGTCAAACTAGATTATTTGGGCAGTGCGGCTGCAGCCTGGGTGACCTTGGGGTAGTCACACTCTCTCAGACTCAGATGATGACAAGGGAGGGGGGGAAACCCATGAAGAGACTTGCCCAAAAAGCCCTGTGATAAGTTGGTCTTAGGCTCTCCATAAGTCGGAAATGGCTTGAAGGTACACCAGACAGACTTATAGGATCGCATCTCTGGAGCTACATTTAGGGTTGCCGCCTCAGGGATGGGTCAGAAGGAATCGTTGCTTATTTGGAAATTATTGTCCTACCCGTCGGTGTTTACATGAGGCTGGATCGGAGGCGATTTTCGACCCCGAAGGATCAGGATCAGGATCAGGATCAGGCCCCCTTCCTCGATTTCTCTTGACTTTCCACCACAGGCCCGCATTTTCCAATTCAATTTAATAGGGCTGGTTTAGGTTAGCAATTCCTTTTTAAAACACCCTGAAATAATTTAGCCAAGCATATTATTTGCGGAGAGGGAGCCAGCCAGACCCTGGACACCTTCCCCACACTCCATGCGGCAGCAAATCCCTTCGGATTAGGCAGGACCCACCCCTACCTACATCATGACCCTGGGTGCATCCACACCGCCGAAATAATGCGCTTTGACACCACTTTAATTGCCTACAGAATCCTGGGACTTCTAGTTTTGTGAGGCGCCAGCACTCTTTGGGGGGTTGCAGACTGCCAGAAATAGTGCAAATTGAGTCCACTTTTAGGGTTAGGGTTTGTGCCAGGGAATCATGGGAATTGTTTGGTTTTTTCTGAGACATTGAGCCTTCTCTGTCAGAGAGCTCTGATGCCACAATAAACTACAGTTCCCATGATTCCCTATCCCTGACCCTAAAAGTGGACTCAATTTGCACTATTTCTGGCAGTCTGCAACCCCCGAAGGCTAAACACCTTTTCAGAGTGGGGGTGCATCTACACTGTGGAAATAATGCGCTTTGACACCACTTTAAAGGGCTGTAGCGCCAGCCTATGGACATCAGGGATGTGCAGTTTTACACCTTGTAAAACTAGGCATCCCAGCTGTCCGTAGGCTGGCGCTACTGCACTTAAAATGGTGTCAAACTGCATTATTTCGGCGGTGTAGATGTACCCTTACTCTGGCCAAGCGTTTAGACCAGGGGTAGGCAACCTTTCCCCTTTAAGGGCCGAGGGACTTCAGCTCCCAGAAGCCTCAGCCATGTTGGCCAATAGTCCCATGTTGGCCAATAGCTCCTGGGATTCTGGGAGCTGAAGTCCCTCGGCCCTTAAAGGGGAAAGGTTGCCTACCCCTGGTTTAGACACACTGGCGGCTTTGAAGCCCTCTTTTCGGGGAGCAGTTTCCCTTGACATCAAGTGGAGAAGTTCCGACGAGATGCGCAAGATCCGGTTCAGAACAGAAGCAGACCTTGCGGCTCCTTTCCTTGGACACTCTCAGTG